TGGATGGCCACTCCCTTCTTCCAAGTCTATCTCAGTCAGGAAGCTCCACTGAAACCTGTCCACTATGTGCAACCCTGCTGACATTTGAAACACTGGTGGCACAGCTTCCAGCCTCACAGCAACACGCAAGCCACCACAATATGACAGAGTGACAGACAAGTTTATCTCCCTTAGATGTTCGAAATCGCTCACTCACTTCTTGGCCTGCCCCTACCTGTTCTGGTCATCTGCACTGGCTCTTAATTACTGTCTGGGTTTGGCTTCTCTCTCCCCTAACCTGTTTCTGGCCATCAGCTCTGGCTTCCCACTTACTGCCTTGGTGTGGGCTCTCTGACCCTTATCTGTATTCAGAGGATGGCCCTGGCTTCCACTTCCTGGCTGTGTTGTAGGTCTCTCTCCCCATACCTTTATCCAGCTGATAACCTTAGCTTTGTGCTTCCTGCCTGGGTGGGGGCTTTTTCTCCCCTTACCTGTATCTGGCTTATGGCCCAAGCTCCTTGGAAATGATCAAACTAGAGGAGTGTGGTCTTTAAGGTTATAGCAAACATGATTGCTGGGTTTTCATTCAAGGTTATTATGGGTTCCAATCTGAAGGTTTTTGAAATATGTAAGAGTTATGGTTGCAATAGGCCGTTATTTGGGATGTATGGGAAAGAGGACTGGGGTTTTTGCAGTATTCCAGGCAAAGAAGGGAAGCAAAGTCAACAAAGACTGAGGGCACCATTCATACTGAGTAAAGTCCAGTGGAAATTATCATAGCTCTTTAGCTGAGAGTGTACAATAGTTCTCATTCTATTTTAACATAAAACATATTGCTGAGATAAATGGCACTATACATTTCATTACTCTATGGTCCAGTGCTAAGCTGGTGTATATACACTACATAGTAGACATAAAAATAGAATCTCATACAATCTTACCTTTACAATCCATTCCAAGTTGCTCATTTAGCAATGTAGAGTCCTTATGATTAGAGTTAGGCGAGATGTGCAATCCTTTAAATCTCTTAGAGATGACTGAGGTGAGTTATCAGTGTCATCCTTAGAATTCAGTAGCTTTTGGACCTAAAAATAAATAATACTAAGTCCCCAAAATATTTCTAGTATACACTAAGTTTACAAGGTAGTAAACATCCATCATTTGATATGAGCCAAATCAAACTATGTCTAGGTCTTGAAATAATTACTTCTTGTCAAAAAGATACTTTATCAAGGTCCATTGAACTACATCATTTCTTTTTCAAATTCCATGTATTTTATGGGATCTCTGGTAGCATAGTGGCTAAGGCACTTGACTGCTAACCAGAAGGCTGGCGGTTCAAACCCACCAGCCACTCCTCGGAAGGAAGATGGGGCAATCTACTTCCGTAGTGATACTGTCTCGGAAAACCAAGGAGGGGTCGCTATGAGTCGGGTCTGACTCGACGGCACATAACAACAACAACAACAATGTCTTTTATACCCAGACAAGATTTTCCATTTTTTCACATTACCTTTTATAGATGTATTTTTTCAACTACAGAGTAATATTTTTAATAATATATTTTTTACAATACCTTGCTGTTTTTATCAGGTATTTCCTTTGTAGGCCTACAAAACAAACAATTGCTTTTAGGCAAATATCTAATATGTCAAATGCAAAAGATATTTATTGGAAAGTATGTATATAGACAATATCTACATTAATACATTATTTCTCCAATTCATAGGAAAGTTTACAGGTAATTCAACATATGAGAATTTCCTACAATGCGAATTCAACTATAAATAGAGAAATATTAAAGGTCAGGCAAAGCATATTCATATTATTATTATTAAAAAGTATTAAATTTAGATCAAGGTTTGTGATATTGAAAGCAAAAGGATAAACAATTTAGGTTCCATTATGTGAGGAGAATAAATAAAGCAGGTTGTTTTCTTGTAATTATTTTCAAGAAAATCAAGTTTTTATTGGAACACCAGTAATTCCTACTTGGAAATTATCACTGTATTGAAGTAATTACATGAGGGAAAACTTTACTTAATGATGGCATTAGTTAGCATTTTGAGGACTTACTATCATTATTTTAAGCACTTTACATGTCTTAACTCATTTGAATCCTCACTACAATTCTATAAGTTAGGTAATATGGTAGGTATTTTACAAAAGAAGAAAGCGAGGCACAGACAGCCTAAGCAACTTGACCAAGGCCATATAACTAACTGGTCAGCCTGCAAGTCTGAATTAAAACTCAGGAATTTATCTCCAAAGCAAGTGGTTCTGAATATACTGTGTCAGTAATATTAATTGTTAAGTGCTTTTAAGCAATAGCATAGTAAATGAATCCATATTATCATTCCATTTCTGGTTATAGTTACAGATAATTTCTGAATCTTGCAAAGATTTTTTAAATAAAATATTTTATAATGTGGCAAAGTCAAAAACCTATTTTTAATATTACCTTTTTCAAAGAAAACTCATTGACAAGCGTTCACTCATTCAATTGTTTATGCATGCATTCAACAATTACTGAGAACATGATATGTGTCAATGACTGTTATGTAGAGGGCAACATGGTTTTGTACTTTTAAAACTTTGTAATCCAAAATTAATTACTATCAGATTGCCAACAGTTTGTTTCTCTATTATTTATAAAATTCTCCTTACCCCTAGAATCTAACAACTATTAAGTTGATATCACCTGATAGTTCAAAGTAGCTTACAGAATCATAATCATTCATGAAGATACTGTCAATGCATTACAATATCTGAATCATCGAGGAGTGATAAAAAATTATTCAGTATGACCTATGGGCTTGCATGTTTAATATGACATAGTTTTTAAAATTAGCATATGATAATATAACATTAAGTCATCATCTGCATTTCAAATTACATGAGAATATTCCATTCTGAATGAACAAACTTTTATCACAAAACAATATATGCTTGGGGAAAAGAAAAAGGAAAAATGGCCAAGCTTGGAAAGAAATCAAGTATAAGCAGCAAAATAAATAAATAAATAAAACCCACACAACTATCCATGAATAGAAGTAGTAAGGGCTGTTAGTGTAAATCTTTAAAAGATCTTACATTTGAATCAGCAAGCTTTCTACTACTTAGAAATGCAAACAAAATTAAAATTAATAAACATGTCTTTCTCTGCTGGATCATTTTTATCAGCCTACAAACATATTCTAAAAGCACCCATCTTGAAACACAAAACAAAACTAACTCTTTTAAACCCCGTCTTCTTCAGTTATCACCCAATTTGATATTGCCTTTCCTAGCAAAAATGTCTACACTCATCCATTGCATTTGGCTTCCATAACCACCATTTATTGAACATGCTCCATGTCAAAGTCACTTATCCTCATCTTAATGAACTTTCAGCAGCATGTGAAATGGTTTGGCATTTTCTTGCCTTGGCCTGGACACTACACTCACCTATTTCCAGAAAAAGTAATCAATAACATTCTTCCACAGGGAAATAAAGAATGTAGATCCTTTACCTTCCTTCATCCTGACCTACTTGACTCTGTGTGCCATCATCATTCACTTGTGGAACACCAGTTGGCGAATCAGCCTTCTCCAACACTGGTGTAAATGCAAATCCTTTTGACGTTCGTTTTTCACATTTATATTTCTTCACTTTCTTAATTTGTATGGCTGAACTAATATTTAAAAACATTCATATAAAAGACAATGGATCATAATAATTCTACTGACTATGTGTGTGTGTGTGTGTGTGTGTGTGTGTCTGTATATACACACATACAATTATTTTGTTAAATTCCAACTCATCCCCATCTTCATTCATTCAATAATACAAAAAGCAGTCATGAAGTACCAACTACACCCAAGGAAATACACACTCCCTACTCCAAAGGCAGGAAATATACAATAATGATACAATGTGCTAAGTAAGAGATGATACATGAGAACTTAAATTTGATCCCAGGGAAGGCACTTCAGAGGAGGGAATATTTAACAGAGGAGTTCACTAGGCAACAAAATGAGAGAAAAACATTCTACTGAGAGGTTGGAATGTGAACACAAACATTAGGCACATGGTTTCTATCACATTTTCAAAAAGTTGGAAGGTATAAAGCACATGGATGCAAGTAGCAAGAGATGAAACAGGGATGACATATGAAATTTTCTGATTGTTAAACTATGCAACAGACTGGAGCTCATGACCTAAAAACATCAGACTTAGATAAAACCAAAGAAAAACAAACCCACTGCCATTGAGTCGATTCATACTCATAGAGTTTCCAAGGCAGAATCTTCATGGAATCAGACTGACCCATCTTCCTTCCACAAAGTGACTCATGGATTTGAACACCAACCTTCTGGTTAGCAGTCCAATGCTTTAGGAATAGGGCCACCAGAGCTGGGGAGTAATAATTAGATATTCCCTATATTTTTGGTTTTGCTTTTTAAAAATAATAATGCCTAATCAAAAGGAAGCTTTAACAATAGGATTTGCCATGTATAACATGAAAGAAGAAATCAGCTAAGTATCTTGGGGGAGAAACAGCTCATTTTAAAAAAAATAACTATATGCTATACTATATAGATTAAAATAGCACCATCTGATCAGTTATGATTTTGTTTGAAAATAAAATGACTTAGTAACTTTTCTGCACTTTCATAGCTTACTATCTATACTGATTATTACAAATTGGATTTGTCAACAGGAAATTCAAATTACTTTTCTTATTATCATCATATACCTCCATAAATTTACAAAGAAACTAGAAATTCCCACTAGAGATGATCATTTCAGGAGTTGAGCATAAGGCCCAAAGAATTAAAACAACAACAACAAAAAAAGTTATGAAAAACTAAAAGAACTTAGGCTGATAATTCTAGTAGTTTAAACTAAGAATTTAAAAGGGGAGGCATCATCTAAGAGAAATTATGAACCAATTCCTCTTGATCCCAGCTTAAAATGTCTACAACCCTAGACTAAGAAACAGTTGTCATTTAGAATATAGTTGATGAAAGAACATTTTTAACCAGAAAACATCTGGTCATAAGAACAAAAGAAGTCATCTCAAACTTAGGAAGAGACTGATCTGTAGCCGTGGTAATAAGTAACCCCCAGAACAAGTTTGACTTCTGTTCAATCAGCATCACTGACCTCACTTATGAACCAATCATCGTCAGCCTTTTTATTCTGAACACAGGCAATCAGGGTCAAACTCACATCAATCAATATGGCTTTTAGTCCAACCCCATTAAAAACAGTCTCATCTGATTAACCATGAATAATCACACTGTTACATATGATGTCACCCTACTTATGCCCCTGAATGTCCGCCAATCATTAACCTCTCTTCCAAAATGCCACATAAGGTCAGCCGCCTACTATGTTAGAAAAGACTGCCTGACTAGCCTAATTCTCTCTTACTATGTTGCTGCTATGTGCTGTTGAGTGGGACCACATAGCAACTCCTCCTTAGGTTTTCATGGCGGTATCACTATGGAAGTAGTTTGCCCAACCTTCCATCTGAGGAGTAGCTGGAGGGCAAAAATTATGGCGACTCCTTTAATAACTTACCATCTTTATATTTTATTTTTCTTAATAAAATTCAACTGAAGTGTGCTGTTCCATTGATGCACTTTACCAAAATTCTAACTTTATACTCAATGGTGAAAGACTGAAAGCTTTCTCCTTAAAATAATCCCTTTTTGCTCTCATCACTGCTATTCAACATTGCATCAAAAGTCCTCACCAGAGCAATTAAGAAAGAAAAAGAAATAAAAGGCATGCAAATCCAAAAGGAAGTAAAACTATCTAATTGCAGATGATAGGTACTATGTATATAAAACCCAAAGATTCCTCAAGAAAGCTACCAGTGCTAATAAAGGAAATCAGCAAAGTTGCAAGTCTGCAACATGCAAAACTCTACTGTATTTCTATTTCCCAGCAATTCACTGTATGAAAGGAAATGAAGAAAACAATTCCATTTACCTTAGCACCTAAAGGAATAAAATATCTAGGTATAAATTTAACCAACGAGGTGAAAGTCTTGTACACTGTATACTATAATGCATTACTAAAAGAAATTAAAAGAACCAACTAAATGGAAAGATATCCTGTATTCACATATTGAAAGACTTAATATTTCTAAAATGCCATACTACCCAAAGCTATCAGTGTAATCCCTATCAAAATCTCAACAGCCTTCTTCCCAAAAAAGAAAAAGCTGATCTTTACCTGCAAAAGGGATTTCAAGGAAACCCGAGTAGTCAGAAAATAATATTAAAAAGGATGAAAAAGGTAGGAGTCACATTTCCCGATTTCACAATGTACTAGAAAGGTCCACCACTACCAGTGGCTGTCAAATTACATTACACTTACGGTGACCTCAAGCATTTCAGGGTACGACTGTCCTCCACAGGGTATGCAAAGGCTTTTTTTTTTTTTTTTTTAAATAGATGGCTAGGCCTTCCTTCTGAGGTACCTCTACCCTTTCATTGGCAGCCAAATTAATCATGTTAACCATTTCTACCACCCAGAGACTCCACTATAAAACTACAGTCTTCATAGTAGTATGGTACTGTTACAGACATAGAGCAAATAGAATAGAGAGTCCGGAAATAAACCCATACATGAATGACCAATTAAGTTTTGACATAGGTGCCAACTTCATTCAATGATGAAAGAATGATCTTTTCAACAACTGCTGCTGGGACAACTGGATTTCCAAATGCACAAAAGAATGAGATTGGACCCTCCTTCACAGCATATACGAAAATTAAATAACATGGTCAATGACCTTCATATAATACCTAAAACCATAAAACTCTTAGAAGAAAACACTGGGGTAAATCTTCAGAACCTTGTATCTCACAATGGACTCATAGCTGGGACACCAAAGCAAAAAGAAAAAGAGATAAATTGGACTTCATCCAAATAAAAAGCTTCTGTATCAGTGGAAATTAACAACACAATGAAAATAAACTATAGAGTAAAAATATAGGTAAACCACCTATCTGATAAGAATTTAATATAAAGAAGACAAATAGCTCCTACAACTCAACAACACAAAACAAACCATCCATTTATGGACAGCCGATCTTTGACAAAGGACCAAAACCAATTAAATGGGGAAGGGATAGCCTCTTTAACAAATGGTGCTAGTAAAATTGATATCCACCTGCAGAAAAATGAAACAAGACCTATACGTCACCCCATACACAAAAACAAACTCAAGTTGGATCAAAGACTTCAAAGTAAAACCCTAAACTATACAGCTCATCAAAGACAATACAGGGACAAATCTAGCAGCCCTGATTTACAGCAAACATACACTATCAATCATCATCCAGAATGCACAGGTGGTAGAAGGGAAGCTAGATGACTGGGACCTTTTAAAAATTAAATTCTTATGCACAGTGAAAGAATTCTGCAAAAAAGTACACAGAGAACATACAGATTGGGAGAAAATATTTGCCTATGCCATATCTGGGAGCTTTAGTGGCACAGTGCCTAAGGCACATGACTTCTAACTAGAAGGCAGGTGGTTCAAACCCACAAGACACTCCTCAGAAGGAAGGTTAGGAAATCTGCTTCCATAGTGAAACTCTCTCCGAAACCCAAGGAGGGGTCACTATGACTTTGATCCAACTCCACAGCAGTGGTTGCGTTTATGGCATATCAGATAAAGGACTTACGTCCAAAATCTATAGAAAACTTCAGCACATCAATGCCAAATGCACAAAGAATCCAATTAAAAAATGGGCAAGGTACATGAACACACACTTCCCTTAATGACGATATCCTGGTGGGCAACAAACACATGAGGGATTTCTCAGGATCATTAGCCATTAAAGAGACACAAAACAAAACAATGACCAGATATCATCTCAGCCAGCAATAATAGTAAAATTCAACAAGACAGAAAATAACAGATGCTGATGAGATTACAAAAAGATTGGAGCTGTCATACACTGCTGGTGGGACTATTAAATGGTACAACCATTGTGCAAAATGGTATGGCGTTTCCTTAAAAAAAATGGAAAACAGAAATATCATTTGAACCAGCAATTCCATTACTAGGACTACATGCTAAAGTGGTGAAAGACAGGACACGGGCAGACATATGCACAGCTATGTTCATTGCAGCACAATTGACTATAGCAAAGAGATGGAAACAAGCTAAATGCCCATCAACAGATTAATGGATAACCAAATTATGGTATGTTCACACAATAGAATATTATGCCACATTAAAGAATAATGAAGAATACAGGAATCATCTCACCATGTGGATGAATCTGAAGGACAGTATGCTGAGTGAAATAAGTCAATCACAGAGGGACAAATACCGTATGGGCCAGTTACTCTAAACAGTCAAGGAAGGGTTTGTTTAGGGAAGGGAACTCACTTTGTAAGTTACTGGGGATAGGAGGGAAGGAGAGTGAAAATTCTGGACTAGTTGGGGAACACACGCTTAGTTGGGGAGAGGAATGGGAAAGTGTCTTTGACCAGCATGACATTAGGGAAAAGGTCCTTAACGGGCACATAAAATAGAGACAACAGAGGCTAATACCAGTATATACACAATACGGCACTATCACTAACACCAAACACTAGGCTACAGATGAATGCATACACAACTGAGAAGATAGATGGGGGTCAGCGATCAGGAATGTACCCTACACCAATGATAGATT